ATGCACAAACAATGAATCATGGAACACTTCATCTAAAACTAATGATGTAATGTATGGGGATTAACATAAGAATAAAAAAAATAAATATAAAAAATAAAATAAAATAAAAAGTCTTCTTTAGTCAACAAGACAAATGAAAAGGCCATTTTAGGGACAAAACTGTACCCAAAAAATCAGGATTGGGGCACCGGGGTGGCTCAGTCAGTTAAGCGTTTGACTTCGGCTCAGGTCCTGATCCCAAGCTTCACACTCAGTGGGAAGTCTGCTTGTCCCTCTGCTCCTCCCCTCTCCTACCTCCCCCTCATGCATAAGCTCTCTCTCTCAAATACATAAATAAAATATTAAAAAAACATTTTTTTTTAATATCAGGGTTGAAACCTCAAACGAAGTAAAACGTGGCATATTTTGAGCAATTGATGGCATGTTTGAAAAGAAAATGCATCTGATGCGGACAAAAGGAATATACATACAGATTTAAAAAATTTTTTTTAATCCCAGCACACTAAAGGATATCTCAGGGGATATTATTTTCAATTTTCAATCCCTAAACAGGCCTTCCTTAACCAAACCATCCCTTCACCCTCCTTTACTTTTTTTTTTAAACATTTATTTATTTTAGAGAGAGAGCTCACCTGCACATGTGAAGGGGAGGAGCAGAGGGAGAAGGAGAGTCCCAAGCAGACTCTTCACGGAGCAGGACTAGATCTCACTACCAGATCATGCGAGACAAAACCAAGGGTCAGACCCTTAACTGCGCCATCCAGACGCCCCACCATCCTTTATTTTTATTCCTCTAATACCTGTTATTACCTAATATTATACCACAAACATTATTTTATCGATTCTAATACACATATTCTTCACTTTTTATCTTGCTGAAACTAGCATGCATCTTACAACCCATACATAGCATTTTTTCCACTTTAATTGACAGATGGACACACATCACTGTGTAAGTTTAAGGCATACAGCATGATGGTCTGATTAAAATATACCAAGAAATGATTAACACAATAGGTTCAACTAACATCCATCTTCTCATGTAGATACAAAAAGAAGAAAAAAGGGGGAAAAATTCTCCTTGTGATGAGAACCATTAGGATTTAGCCTCTTAACTTCCCTATATATTGTATGGCATGATGACCTATAGACAGTGTGTTATACATTACATATCTTGTACTTATTTATCTTGTACTGTGTGTATGCTTTGACTCCCTTCCTCCATTTCCCCCTCCCCCTGCATACATACCATTTTATAACTACAGTCAGCCAGGTGGCAGTCTTGTTATGGCGTGAAAAACACTCAGTTAACTTTTGAAAAGATTATAAAAGCATCAGCACCAAAATGCTTCAGATTAGATGAAACAGGACCTTTATCCATTTGCTGGGTATCGCCCAGCTGTACTCAGCAACATAAGATCAGTAATTTATTTAAATTTATTTAAAAATCTCTGTAATCTCTGCACATAAAACAGTGACTGGCACCTAACAGATACTTAACCTGTCACATTTAACATCTCTGAAACAGAAATGAGTCCAACAGGATGGATCCTACACAGGTGGTTTTAATTTTTTTTTCTTAGTGGTACATACAGTAATGGCAAGTCATTACATGCAATGGCATCTAGGATATGAAAAAATTCAGTGACAAAAAAATACAAAAATTGGACAGTACAAAAAAAATGGACAATGGAGTGAGTGAAATGACCCACTTCAAAAGATGACTCCAAAGGTTGGTAAATCCAAGAAATAGAAAAATAAGCTTATTACTGAGTTATGAAACTAAACACCCAAATAAATAAAAACAAAGAGAGCTAAACACAATTGCCTCCTGGAAAAAGCAGAATGTCACCCATCTTTCACTATAAGCCAATCTACAATTATTTTTTTATCAAGTGCACTTACTTTTTATGAACCATTTTTGAAATATTAATAAGGTGGGGAAGAAAAGATGCACACATACAAAATCATAGAGATTGAGACAGGGGCATTCACATAGATACAGACAGAAAGACATTCATGGGCAGTCAAAGCCAAGAGTCAAACATATCCAGAAATTTCAACGGACAATGCAGGATGGAGACCATGAGTTCCGGAAGCAAATTTAACAAATATCTAAAGCATGACATCAACACTAGTTGCGTACTGATTATAATTATGCCATTTTGCTCATCGGAAAGTCAAGGTAGGCTCAGCAAAGCCTTGCCAGTTTATCCTCATGCTCCGGACTGAAAGCTCAGACCCCCTTAAGTGTAATAATTACAAACTCAACCTCTCCACAACACTTCACACTCCAACAACCCTTTCCCCTGCCCCGGCCGGTCGTTAATTACAATGACAGACGCGGGGGCTGAAAAGGTCTCGCCAGTACCAGAAAGACCCAAGTGACTACATTAAAGGGGTACACAAGCTCGGGGAGGAGACTGCTGCTGGGGGGGTAGGAAGTCCGCGGATCACAGAACGGTGGCCATGACATGCAAAAACCCAGCTTTCTTCGTCAGGTCCACAAAAGCACCCAAGGGAACCTGCGCCTGACTTTGCAGAAAGAAAGGACACCCTTCCCCGAAGAAAGCTTTTAAAGAGCTTAAACACCCAACTTGCCCTAGGCGGGCAGAGGCGCGCAGTTCAGACCCCGCCCCTCCCTCCCCGCCCAAGACAGGCGTAGAACGATTGCAAAATGTCACAGGGCCCAGACTGAGCGCGCCAAAGCGGGACCCACCCCCGGGAGACCGGGAAGCGGGAGGCAGGTCCCTCCCCTTCCTCTCTCCGCCCGCGCAGAGCTCATTCATTCTTGAGGAGGGCAGCCCATCTTCCCCGGCCGGCTATCCCTGCACCGCAAACCCACCAGCCGCTTTGTCTCCCGTCCGGCCGGAAACCGGAGCGCGCACTCGAGCGCGCGCCCAGACGCCACCACCCCGCACCTGGGGCCCGCCGGAGAACCCTTCTAAATCTCGGGGTGCGAGGCTCGAAGCCGGCCGCTCCTCCTTGGCGGCCTCAGGTGCGCGCTTCGCTCTGTCCTGCTCGGTAGCCGGGAGACGGAAATGTGCATCCCGGTCGCACCGTCGCTACAATTCGAGCCCCCTCCGCGACCCCTGTCCCCGCTAAGAAACACCCGATTCTCCTTCCGAAGGGCGTGGGCACCTGGCCCGGCTCTCCTGCCCCCCGAGCTTGAGTCCCCCGCCTTTTATGTGAGCTAACGCGGCCGCCAGGCGGGCACTCACTTGAGGACCAGCTGGTCGTGCTCGGCTTTGAACTTGCCCAGCTCGATCTGCAGCTTGGCGCGCTCGCGGGCCGTGTCGTCGAGTGCGCGTCGCGCGTCGGCCAGCTCGGTCTCGTACAGCGCCTTGAGGCCGGTGAGCTCGCGGCCGCGCACCTCCTCACGCTCCGTCACCTGCAGCTGCAGCGCGCTGTTCTCCGTCTCCAGGCTGCGCACCTTGTCGATGTACACGGCCAGCCGGTCGTTGAGCTCGCGCAGCTCCTCCTTCTCCTGCAGCCGCGACAGCCGCGTGGGGCTCAGCGGCGTAGCGGGGGCGCTGGCGCGGCTGCCCGACCGCGGCGGCACGGGGGTCGCGGTCGCCATGGCGGGCGGCGGGGCGACTGGCGGGCTGAGCAGAGCTGGGAGGCCGCGGGCAGCACGCGACACGGAGGGGGCTGCAGAGGGCGAAGCGGGGGACCGAAGGCACAAACCGACGACCCGCGCCCGCGGAGAAGCCGGCGTGGGAAGGGAGAAGCACCTGGGTTGGCGGGAGCCGGGTTACAGCACAAAGGGCAAAGGGGGAAGACTGCCAATCAATCAATCGTAAACTGCCCTTTGTAAGAAAATATGCACACACACTCACACACACACTCGGGAAGATTCGGGGCGAGGGTGACCGGGAAGGCCGAGCAAGGTCCGCGCGCCGCCGCCGCCGCCGAGTCTCCCGCCCGCAGCACTTTGTTTCCTCTCAGGCGGCGCGGAGCGACGGGGGGGGCGGGGGGGGCGAGGGGGAGGGAGCAGGGCGGCGGGGGGCGGAGGTGGCGCGGGCAGTGGCGCCGCACTTTCCAACATGGCCGGCGCGCGCCGGCACCTCCACGTGACCGTCGCCGGCCAATGGAGGGCCGGCGGCGCGCTCCGGGGCTCGGGGGCCGGGCCTGTAAATTCAAAATCGGGGCCTCGGGCAACCGTCAGCCTGGCGCGCGGGGCTGGGCGTGGCTGGGGAAACGCTGAGGGCGGCGGAGTGGGGCGCCGGGGACTGATCGCCCGGCGGCCCAGGGCCCAGCGGCGGCCGGGCCTTCCCGCCACCCCGCGAGGACCCCCGGAGGGGCCGGGCCTGCGAGTGGCGGGAAGAAGCCCCGAGGTTTTCCGGGGCGGGTCCGCGCCGCCGCCCACACCCAGCGGTTCAGGGAAATTCAAACATAAACGGCCGTAACAGCCACACGCAAAGCTCCTAGAGGCCGGGACGACCGCGGACGTTGTAACCTTATCCCCGCCCGGGCGGACGGGGCTCGGAAAAGGGCCTGGAGGCCCGGGCGCTGTGGAGTTACGTCATGGGCTCTGGTGTTCGGGGTTCAAAACCCACCGCGTGCCGGTGCCAAATGCGAGCCTTTATTTTTCTCTCGGAGGGAAAACGGTGTATCCCAGCACCTCCTCGCTGTCAAAATGACGTATGCGTGCGTGTCTTGAAGCGACCGAGCCCGCAGAAAGGCCAGAAACCCTGACTTGGGGTCACAAGTGACATTAACGTGTGAAGGAACCCGCACAAGCTGCCAGATTGTCTTGCTTCACTAAAATCCAGTGCATCAAAATCTAAACGTGTGCAAATTTAAGTAGAAATGACTTCTTGCTTAAAAAAAAATGATCCCCCAAAATGTAACTGACAAGTAATTCTAGTAGAATGTCCGTTAATCGCTTTGAAGAGTTTTCACTTTCAGGTTAACGTTTGCTGGAATTTACTGTGCCCTGCACCGGGCTTTTCGTGGCTTATCCGTCCACGCGGCCGCTCTGTGGTGGGGGAACTGTATTATTTCCCTTTGAAAATTCGCCCATTTAATAGACGAATTTCCTTAAGGCTGCCCGGGAGGGACAGGACGACATTTGAACCCAGACAGTTTCAGTCAACTCCAAAGCCTCGCCCTTAACTATAACCTAGAAGGCCACCTCATAATCTAGTGGAAACCCATCTGTAGAGTAATGACAGGTTAGCTACCTTAATAATGGTAGAAATGAAGACCAGGATGTTCTTTAAATATTAATCAAGTCGTGTACATAAGAATTAGTGAAGGGCACCAGGCTGCATATCACCCTGGAGGGATTTCTGGGCACCCTGAGCGAAGATGATCTCATTAATGGTTCTCCTTTCTGGCCTGTTACCTAAAATACCTCGCTGAGAAAGACTTGAAAGGCTTGTATCTTGAAGTTGGTGTTAGTTTAAAAGTAAATACTCAGACAGTTTTAATAACTTAAGAAGGTCTTGAAAATCCAAATTACTAAGGAATGTGAGCGCTGATCCAAGGTGGTAGAATCTAGCCCTGGAATGTAAGCCCACCTCCTGGAGGCCCTTTCCACTACCTGGATGGTTTGGTTTTCACACCATCTCCCCTTTGCCTCAGCCTTTTAAAAAATATTTTTAAGTATTTTCTTTCCACCTTTGAAGTGTCCAAACTGGATGTGAAGTGATTTCAGGCATGATCTCTGTTACTCTCAAGCCCATGAAGCTTTCTCTTGATAGAATCCCTCAATTTCCGATTGTGTTTAGGAGACTCAGGTCATGTCCTCTCATCTGAAACAACAAAGACACTGGAGTCAGACAGTTAAGGATTTGCTATTGCTAGCTGTGTAACTATGGAAGTTATTCCTTGGTTTCCTCATAGGAAAATGGGGATGATTCCTACCTTGCAGGGGGTTTGTAAAGATTAAATTTTAGACATATAATATGGAATGGCTAGTAATTCTTTTTTTTTTTTTTAAGATTTTATTTATTTGCGAGAGAGCACACGAGTGGTGGGCAGAGGGAGAGGGAGAAGCAGACTCCCCGCTGAGCAGGGAGCCAGATGCAGGGCTCAATCCCAGGACCCCGAGATCATGACCTAACCCCAAAGAAGACACTTAACTGACTGGGCCACCCAGGCACCCCTAGTAATTCTTCCTAGTAGTAATTCTATGTCTCCAATCAAAAGCAATTTTAAAAAATGGGGGAAAAATGGAAAATCTCTTAGCCATAGAACTAAGAAATCATGCAAACATTTGGTCAGGTACTTGACTAAACATACACTTCCCTTATTCTCTTGGCTGTTCTCATGCCTAACCCTGTACCTGGAGTATTTTCCAAACCTGTTCTTTCATAATAAGTTTGTCCAGCCCTCTTCATTTATATAAATCCTGTGATCCCATCACTGCCAATGTTTTCCCCAATTAATTAGAAGAGAGGTAACTATGTAAGTTTGGGAACAGTGCTGCTTCATTTACAAGGGCAATCATGATTTCAAATATGCTGCCCTGTTTTTCCTTTAAACTGTCCATTTCGGGGCGCCTGGGTGGCTCAGTAGTTAAGCATCTGCCTTTGGCTCAGGTCATGATCCAAGAGTCCTGGGATCAAGCCCCTTATCGGGCTCCCTGCTCGGCGGGAAGCCTGCTTCTCCCTCTACCTGCCACTCCCTCTGCTTGTGCTCTCTCTTACTGTATCTCTCTCTGTCAAATAAATAGATCTTTAAAAAATAAAATAAAATAAATAAACTGTCCCTTTCTTGTCAGGGCACATGTTCTGATTATTGGTTAGGCCATGTATATATATATATATATATATACCCACCAAGCCTCAACTTGCCATGACATTGTTTCCCTCTTCAACACTCTTCCCATGGCACAGAGCTACCTCATGACATAGAGACAACTTATTGGACATTTGCCCTACTTTCTGTATATCATTTGGATCTGAGACAGCAAAATACAAGATACCTATCATACCTGGACAGAAGGCGCCCCGACTAGGATGGGGGGTGAGGAGGCAGGAAGAATGGAAGGAGATAGCGAAAGCTCACAGTAACCCAATTTGTACAGGGAGAGAGACAGGTGGCAGAGAGCGGAGCATGCAGTGCAAACAAATGGGCTAGCAAGGGCTGAAGTACAAAATGAAAAATATTGCTAAATGGTATCTCCTCGATATATACGATCACTGAATAGATCGCTGAATAAATGCAAGAAGAAATAAATCAATACATGGTCTTTTACTAGGCCACATTGTTTCTATTTAATACACTTTGCAAAGTTAATACTGTTTCCAGTTCTCATGAAAGCATAACAATAAATCATGTTTCAAAAGGTTGAGTGACTATCCAGCATCCCTTCAAACTCTGATTTTTATTTTTGTGTTTTAAAAAGAGCCAAAGAGTTTTAAAGCTGTCTTTATCATCTTCAAAAGCATTGTTCTCCTAGCAAAGCTGCATGAAATTTACATACTGCTCAAAGTCATTTTCCAAATTGCTTGTTGAGATCTGGATATTTGGCAAAAGTAGAATTGGCAGAGTTCTTTTAACCCAGTGATTCCGTCTTAGTGATAACTTAGGATTTAGTTGAAAAGAGAAACCAATTTGCATTCTTGCATTTCAGTTTTATTTTATGCCAAATTATGGTCATAATGCTGCTTTACTTATAAAGGTTCTCTCTTTTTTTTTTTTTTTATGTAGTGTTCCATGATTCATTGTTTGCGTATAACACCCAGTGCTCCATGCAATACGTGCCCTCCTTAATACCCATCACTGGGCTAACCCATCCCCCTACCTACCTCCCCTCTAGGTTGTCTTTAAAGCATTTCTTAAATTAGTATTTATGCATCTGGTTTTTAACAGTTTTTTTTTAAATCCTACAAAGGTATGCCCCTTCCCCCTATATTATGCATCTTTACCTTTAGAGTGGTAAAAATAAAAAAGACTGAAGTCAAAGTGTAAGGTTTATTTATACATAATTCAGCTGTTTCTACTCTGATTGGAACTGACCCTACTCAAAAGTTAAGGGCTTTCCTTTTTCATGATCAAATCTTTAGTCTTTGATGGATGGTTTTATCCCTACCCAATAACATTTAAATGTATTCATTTAAATTTAAACTACAGAGGTGAGACTTTTCTCACCTAAAATATCTTTGTTTCCTGACCCTACAGCTGAGTTCAAGAAAGCAGATGAAAAAGGAAAATATGATACTCCCATAATTGATATACTAAAATAAAAGAATGAATTTTCAACCAGATCTCCACATGTTCTTCATTACCACAATTTTGGGGTACCATTCTTCTCAGGATGGCATTGTAAAACCAGGACTAAAGACAATCACACCATTCTCAGTTTTTAAGTTTAATAGCTTTGATATAGGTAGAGGAAAAGATTTTTGAAAAGAAAGGTGGTCTGGCTGAACGAGTTCCCTCCATTCCATTTTCACATCCCTACCATCTCTTCTCCAATAAGAGCCTCCTGACTGGGGAAGGAAGGAGAGTTTGTGGGAGTCACCGTCTCTTGTCCCACCCCTGGGCTGAGCTGAGGGTAGGAGTTGAAGATCCAAGAATAGAGGTGGTTTGTGCCTCACAACAAAGTTCCCTGTTCTTCCTTCTTGC